GAGAAGCAATGCCTAGGAAGCTGCCCATCATTTCAGAGTATCTGATAAGGTGGACAGCATTGCTGTGGGTGCATGGGAACATTAGTGCTTAGCTTTCTGCACCCAGCCACTATTACTAGGTAAACGCCATGGCAGGTAAATGATGAACAAGCGGGGTGTGGGGATAGAGGCATGGGTGGAACCCACCACAGAACACTTTTCAGAGATATTTCTAATCTAGAGCTGGCCCTGACATTGAAGGTCCCCTTTGCTACCTTAGCAATGTCATCAGGACCAGACCTACCATTAGGCAGAGTGAGATGCTGGCCTCAGGCAGATGATGCTGAAGAAGGGCTCCCGCTATTCCTCCTGAGCCCACTGGCCATTCCCCTGTCTTAGAGGACACAGGTGTGTCTGCGATGTGGCCTGCTCTGATGCATCTGCAAATGAAACTAGCCTCTTGCCTCAGGTGCAGGTGGAGGACTCTGTCCCATCACCAGATCATAGAATGGTAGAGTTGGAAGGGCCCTGGAGGTCATCTGGTCCAACGCCCAGCTCAGGGCAGGGCTCCCAGTCACACCATCCCTCTCAGCTGGTTGTCCAGTTGCATCTTGAATGCCTCTAGCATGGGAGAACCCACGGTCCCTTGGGTCATTGGCTCCATTGTCGTACTGCTCTCACTGTCAAGAAGTTCTTCCTGTTGTTCAGCCAGAATGTGGCTTCCTGTAACTTGAGTCTGTTATTCTGTGTCCTGTACTCTGGAATGCTGGAGAAGAGCTCCTGGCCTTCCTCTTTGGGACAACCTTTCAACTGCTTGAAGAGTGCTATGGTACCTCCCCTCAGGAATGAATAGCAGTGGAGTATCATTTCATCCTTTGCCTCAGACAGCAGAATATCATTCTTTCCAGAAGCTACCCTGAAACACCTTTCAGAGTTTTTCTTGTTTTGACAGTACATCTTAACCAAAGCGAGAAGGTACTTGTGAAACACAATTTATTTGTGTTGTGAGCCAGTGAAGCATGGAGATTAGAGGGCTGGACTGAAGATCTGGGTTGTAGCTCCTGCTCGGCCATGAAGCTCACTGGGTGGCTTTGGACCAGTCCCTCACTGTCAGTCTAACAGATCTCAAAGAGCTGTAGATGTGAGGATAAAAACGAAGTGGAAAAGAACTGTGTGAGCTGCCTATAGTCCTTCACAAGAGGAAAAAGGCCAACGATAAATGTAATATAATAATGACATTTCAGAGCCTCCCAGACAATGTTAAATAAGTAACAGTGTTATTTTAAACTATGCTAATGAGCAAGAGAGTTGAAAGAACAAAACCTTTTATGACCAACCACTTTCATTACCCTAAGCTTTTACAGCAGGCACAGGCTGTGGGACTTGTATGGTTACTGTTGTTTCAAAATCAATTTCCAGCACTCTCAAGCTTTTAAGAGCAATTTTCCAGTAACCCCATTGGACCGTGCATATCCAATTACAATGTCCTACTCACTCAGGCAATGGTGACTGGAAATCCTGCTCTTTTAGGTAAATTGCAATTTCACAAATGAGAAGAGAGTCTCTGTTTTCTGGTTACCTGTCCTCGGAAGACGTTTGCCTTTGGGTATCACCTGTTAAAATGTTATTTGTGAGAATTGCTAGAGCTATTATTCTTCAGAGCTAAATGCCTTCCACAGAGTCACTGAGGAAACTCCCTGGATGGGAATACCTTGTCTTTAACAGATGCCCACATACATATGTGCACATAAACTTTAAAGTAACTGGTAACATTGCACAACCTGCCATTTTACACAAAAGCTACTGAGGTAGATTTTAACTTATTAATAACATATTTTAGGATAGCCAAGTTTTTTCTAGTATATTTTAAAGCAAAAGAAGAGCCGTCCTCTTGTTTTTTCAGTGCAGGACACTAGCTACTGCAGAACAGAAGAATGCAGTATACAACAAATCAAGTAAAACCTTTGGAATTGAATAACTGGAGAAAATATAGCAGTTTGTAAAGTGATCTGTGGCACGAGCGTTAGACGATTACAAACATGTCCCTGCTTTTGCCTGTGAAATGTTGAGAAAATGAGTACCTCTGTAACTCTTTTGACACATCTTTAAAAGTGCCTAAAATATTAGGATCACTCATAGTGTACTTGTCTCAGTGTTGTGAGATTCTACACCTAATGCAGGTAGGTAACACAAAGGGTATGAAAAAGTTACATATTTAGTGTTTAGTGTAGAATTAAAAACACTTGGTTCACACACATTTTATAAGGTGTCTACGTGATGACCCCATCATCAAAGTGTAGTCCCCTATATTTAGCTCTCCTTTCTTTCATCTATTCTCAGACCACAAAGTCTAGTCTTTAAGAAAAAAAGTCTGCAGAAGTAGGTTTTAAATTCTAATGCATGCAGCTGCAGGTGGGAGAGCTTATCCTCATGCATCTCTAACTTCTGCACAGCTTTACTATTATGTTTCCAGTAGGTGCCATTTAACCATGGGTTGTTTTGATTTTTTTTTTTTTGCTTACATTTTTGCTTTTTTCCCTCCACGTAAAATTGTTTAAATCTTTTTGCAATGACACTTACATGAAAAGGCATTTTAGTGCAGATTTAGCATTCCAGGGCTATTGTGCACACACGCACATATATATACAGAGAGCATTAGGGTGTTTGAGAAAGGGTGTATATACTGTGTGTGAAAAAATCATGGCAGCAAAGAACAGCATTTTTCAAAGAATACAAAGAGAAAAATCATACAAAAGGTTGGCTTTGATTATGGGAAGGCAAATCACCTCATCGGGGGAAAACAAAAAAGGGGAGGTAATGTAAAAGTTGGAATACAGATTTACCAACAAAAGAGTAACAAGACCCATGAAGGATTTCTACAGAAGCTTTCTGATATAAATCTGAAAGAAAATACCTATATTTCTTTCATCTATTAGTATAATTCTACCCCCTTTTTCCTCCCCACCCCTACAAGCTATTTGCTAAGAAAAATCTAGCAGTATCTTTAAAAGAATTCTGCTGATCTCTGGTATGAGTTAAAAAATTAATGTGTTCCATTTTCCTGGATGTATTATATTAATAGTATGCCTGTGTATGTAAATGAGTCTGAAATTCAACAAGATGGAAGTATTTAAATATTCATAATCCTCATGCAGCATATGCAAACTAAGTTCTCTGCCGAATTGCAGTATGATGTCTCGAAACCAGCTGTACCAGAGCAGAGGCATTTTATCATAATGGATTCAGTTGTTAATGAAAATGTTGACAGTGTTAGTTGGGTGGGTGTATTTTCGGGTGTGAGCATGTATGTGTGGGTATTTATTAATATATGCTTCTTGGAGCCTGATTCAGACAAGTATTTTTCTCCAGGCAGGTATTTAAGCATATGCTGAGATGGAAAAGGTATGTTTCCTTTCACAGTTACAGGAGTAAGAGCTATATATGGGAAGTCTAACTAAATTTTTGAAGGTGATGGGTTCAAATTTCTGTCAGCTTTGTTCATAACCTATATTATTTTCAGAAGCTCATTTATTTATGTAGAAAACTCTTTGTGCCAAGTGGGTCTCTAAATGTGACAGAAGCTCACCGGGTTGGGGAAGTTGGTGACTGGTACTTCATGACATCCAGCAGTACTATACTTTGTGGGTGGTAAGGCAGGAAATACACATGGCTGAAATTTGTACCGTAGCAAATTCTTTGCATGGCAGAGTTCACCAGCAGAGCATGTGCTTTGCATGCAAAGGCCCCAGGTTCAATTGCTGGCATCTCCAGGCAGGATTGAGAAAATGCCATCTGGAATTCTGGACAGCCATTGCCAGTCACTGGTACAGAGTAGCTGGTACTGAGCTAGAAGGACCAGAGTATATAAGGAAGTTTGCCCAGGCTCACACATCTGGATTGTTCGCTGTCATATTTGGAATCATTTGTTTCTATAACGTAAATGCTGAATTGGTACACAAAAAGTAAAATGCTTCCCTCCCATCCCACCCTAGAGATCCAGTCTCTTCCTTGACACTTTTCGCAGAAGCAACCCTTTTCAGTCCATGCAGTGTGGCACAGTAGTAGTTTGTGTCCAACCTTTTTTTTTTTTTTTTTTTGCTAAGAAGCAGCATTTGGACAATCCTCTTTTCAACTTCCTACAGCACAATCCCAAATGAAGAGAATGTTCTGATTTGTGGAGCTCTTCAGTAAGCTTCTTGGAACCACTGAAATCGATTAAAAGCCTCAGGAGCTGCCTTTGGTTGTGACAGGGTGTCTAGCAATTTGTAGATGATACTAATAACAACCATGCTAGTCTACTACTTCCCTGGTGACTTTTGTGAATTATGTCTTTATTTGTCCAAAGTGAACAAGCCTGACCTTTTCGCCAAACAAGAAGCACATACAGAGTTTCTGTCCTGCGTCCCCCATCAAAATCTATATTCCACGCTGGTGCAGTGAAATAAATTCAAAGGCTGATTCAAAGTGAGATTTATTCTGAGCTGTAACACAAACGTCTTGCCGAGAAGACACATGTGCAGTCCAATCCTATGCCACATTTACTGCTAGTTGCAGTGGATCTTACTCCTAGCTAAGTGCATAGGATTGCAACCTTCAGTCGCTAAGTAAGTGCAGGCATGTAATTTCCCACCTTTCCTCCCGCTGCCACGAAACCCTGTAATTTATTGCAACTTGTCTTGCATTCCAAACGTTCTCTAAAGTATTTTGCCGGGCAAAGGAAATTAGATATGCCTGTAAAGAATTGTTGACTTTGAAACTGACCGGGGAGGCACTTACACATGTCAACAAAAGGTTCCACGCAGTCTTTGCTTTGGATAGACTCCCCCTTTCTTTCCTTCGGGCATCGCAAAGAAACCGGGTCACACCAAGTAAACCTACTTTGCACTTTGTGGGTGGGGAAATGGGGCGGGGGTTCGAAAGCCGAACTAGGGAGGGGAGGGGCTGTCTCTGCTCCCCCTAGTGGCTTCCTCCGGGCTCTGCAGGATGCGGCAAAGGCCTTTGCATAAATTATGTTCATGACGCAGCAGCTAAAAAATCCCGAGTCTCAAAATCTGCCCCCTCGTTCTCCCCCCAGGCGGGGCAGGGGCTTGGGTGGCTGAAACTGGGGGGAATGCCTGATGCCAAACATTGGGAACAGCGGTTGCACAAGGGTTTGAGCCCGGCTGGGCCCGGGGGGAGCGCCGCCTCCCTGGCCCCCCTTTTTGTGTGTGCAGCAACCTTCGCTCCTGCTGCTGTGAGATGAATTTTTAATTATTCCCAAGGAAAAAAAAAGAAAAAGACCGGCTCGGAGGAGCCCCGGCCCGGGCAGGGGGCGAGCGGGTCCCTCCCGGCTGCTCAGCGGTGAGTGGGGGTGCGGCGGGGCCGGTGTGGCGTGGACCTGGGGGGCGGGGGGGACCCAGTTCGGTGAATATGCAATGGTCTTAATTAGCATAATTTATATATTTATGATAGAGAGGGAAAAAACAGGGGCCCGGGCGCTTGGGAACGGGGGAGACGGGGCTGGAGCAACCCTGGACGGTCAAAGCAGAGCTGGGGGCGCAAAAATACTTGGGGGAGGCACCCCATATGCTGTTGGGGACCGTCCGATTGAAGCTGCCGGAAGGCAATCGGGAGATCTCAGAGCACGGGTGGCAGTTTGGGGGCGAAAGCGGGCTGCGGGAGGAGGGGAAAAGGTGGGAGAGAAACTGGTTCGAGTAACTGGTGAATTTGGAGCAGGTGGGGTCCGTAGGAGAGAGGAAGCGGGTCTCGGGGGGAGACCTGAAATCTAAAGGGTTTGTTTAGACAGAAGTGGCTTAGAAGGTGATTAGGCGGCTGGAAGCCGGAGCCTGGCTGGGGCTGGCTGAGAGCGGAAAGGAGGTGGCGACGGTGGGGGATCGTGCTGGGAAATAGGTTGCGGGAGGAAGAGGATGGGGCTGGCCCCTAGGGGTGGAGGTGAGCGAGGTGCAGGAGCAAAGCGGGGATACGGAGGGAGCCCCGCGGGGAGGAGACTGTGTGTGCGCGCGCGCTTCAAGGAACGAGGCTTGGAACTGGGATGCCAAGCCGCGGTGGGATGAGAAGCAGCAAAACTGGGGGCGCCGTGAATAGCGGGAGCCTCGTGAAATGCTCTGGGCTGAGGGAGCGACCTGAAGGGAGGTTGAGACCAGCCTCGCAAAGGGCTGATGCGCAGAGCGTGTGGGAGCCACGGAGTACAGCCCGCGGGGCGATTTCTGGAGCTGGAAAGATGGGCATGGGGAAGGGGGCTCGAGGCGTCGATGGGTGAGAGGCTGGCCGGTGCGGGCTGAGCCGCGAAAAGGATTGCAAGACAAGAAGCTGAGGAAAAAGCCAGCTTCGTCGCGGAGAGGCACCCCTAAGTGGTGTTCAAACTGGAGCGGGAGAGTGGGAAGTCTTTCGGAGGCCACCTCGAACAAAACTGGATTCCAAGTGCTGGCGAGGTCAAGAGGGCTACGGTGTGTGGGAAAGGGGCCGGGGCGGGGAAGCGGAACTAAAGGCAGCCCCGAAAAGGGCAGGTGGGGTAGGCGTGAGGAAGGAAAGCAGCGGCGAGAACCCGGAGCGAAGGCTTCGCCTCAGCGCGGGAAAGTGGAAAACTGGGCAGGGCTTAATTTGAGCCAAAGCGGAGCCCTGCAGGCTCTTTTCCGTGGCAGAGCCCGGCCCTAAATACATAAGTAATAAGAGCACTCCGGAAGGACGGCTCAGCTCGCCTGCCGTGAGGAAGCCGACCGAATGCCCTCTGGCACTCTAGAGGAACCGAGTTGAAGAAAAACTTCAGTGAAATGGTTTAAATTTGGAGGAAGGGCATGGAGGGAAGAGGTAGGCCTCACTTTGTTCCCAACGCTACGGTTGCCGTCCAGTTTTTCTCTCATGCCGGCTTTGATTTCTGAAAATCCAATGGTGGTGATTAATTTTAATTATTTCATTTCTATATTGACCAAATAGCCAAAGCGGGGGGGGGGGACAAAAATTTATACAACACCATAGTGTACAAAAAAGCAGCATAAATGTAATATAAAACAATATGTAAAACAAAGTGAACAATTAAAACAAAACTAGAAAAACAGCTGGTGTAAGCCCTACCCCCTGGACATTTAAAGCCATTAAATAGCGCAGCATAGTGGGTAGTTTTAATCTGGCACCAAAAGGATGGCAAAGTTGGTATCAAGTGGGCCTTAGTGGTGAGAGTATTCCCTAACGGGGTGGGTGCCACTGAGGAGGCCCTCTTCCTTGTTGTTACCATCTTAGCCTCCCTCAAAGCTGGCCCTTGGAGGAAGACCTCAGCTATTGGCCATAATGGGTAGATTTAGGTCAAGAGAAGCACTCCAACAGGTGTTGTGCTCCTAAGCCATTTAAGGCTGTATAGGTTAAAACCAACACTTTGAACCAGCCTCAGACAGAAAGCAAGCAGGCCAGAATGGGTGTTAAATGCTCAAACTTTCTGGTCCCAGTTATTATTGTGACTGCTGTATTTTGTACCGGCTGCAGCCTCTGAACAGTCTTCAAGGGCAATACTACAAAACTCCAGATTTTCCCACTCAGCAGCTTCGTGTAGACCTTAAACAGTATGGGAGACAGAACCAATCCCTGGGGAGCTTCATGCTGGAGAATTCATGGCGTAGAGTTGTATTTCTGAAGCACCTCCCTCAGGAGATAGCCATCCAAGTAGGAGCAGAACCATTGCAATGCAGTACCTACCCCACTCCCAGCTCAGACAGTCACCTCAGAAGAATACCACAGTGAATAGTGCTATGAAAGCTTCCAAAAGAAGGGCGCATCTACAGAGATGCTCTCCTGCTTCTTTCATGACATAGGCCATCACACTGGGCAACCAAAGCTGTTTCTGTCCTAAACCTTCCCTGAATGCCAACTGAAATGGATTCATGCCATCAGATTATGGATCCTCCATGTCACATTTAGTCCTTAAATCGGCTTAAATCCTTGCATATCAAAGATTAACATAGAAGGTTTCAAGCTCTGAGAACATGAAGTTCACGATAGGGTATCTTGTGGTCTGCCCTTCCTTCATTTCCTCTCCCCCAATTCCTCCCCCCCCCCACCTCTCTTTTTTAACAAACTCAGTCACAGAGTGGACAAAGTTTCTCCCTGAGCCTGGAAAACTTCTGGAATCTACAATTTCAGACAGAATGTGGAGGCATAAATAAATGCAGATCAAAAACTAACAAAAGCTCTTCACAAACTAGATGTTAGGGAGGAAGGTTCTAGCCTAGCCTCTCCCCAGAAAAATTAGTTCTCCTGTTTTCAGTTAGTGGTTAGAGTGGTGGACTGGATCTCAGGAGATCTGGGTTCTAGTCCCCACATGGGCATGAACACTGAATAACTTTAGGCCAGTCACTTACAGCTTAACCTATCTCACAGAGTTCTTTTGTGGATAAAATGGAGTGGAGGAGTATCATGAAGCCGCCTTGTGTTCCTTGGAGGAAAAAAGGCAGGATATAAATGTAAGAATAGCAGCAGCAGCAGGAATAATACTACAGCTTTATCACAATAGGCAGAATTAGGCTGGAAAACTGATAGGAAGGGAGGCACCTCAGTGAGGGCCTCAGGTAGGAAAAAGCTGCTCCTAAACTGACAGATGGGAGCTGAATTTTCCTCAGGGCTGGTGAGTGGTGGGATAGGGGAATGACTAGTCTGCACTTTTTAATGTTAGGATTGGTTCATATGGCATAAATATAATCAGTGTAGGTAAGTGTGCAAATACTGTTATGAAATGCAACACAAGAGGATGTAGGTCCTTTTTTGCTGTGCACGCATGGATTTGGAAAGAACTTGCAGGTTAAATACATATTTTGTATGTATTATAATTCAGGTTTAAACCCTGCCAGTTCTCAGATTTCATTGTACATAGATGAAAAGGCTTTAAAATGATGTCAGGTAATACAGCTGGGAGCACCCTGTGCCTGAGACTTGGGAAAAGTCATTATCTCAGCATATTTATTAATAACTTTTTTGGGTCCTGCTTTTCCTCCAAAGAGTGATAAAAGGCAGATATACTCACTTTATCACACAATGACATTGTGAGGTAGATTCATCCTAAAGACAAGGACTGTCTCAAGAGGCACCCAGACAACTTGTGTGTGTTGGAACTGGGGGAAATTAATACAATCTTTGTAGCCCTTTAATCATGCTAGCCACTGCTGCTTACATTTCATTCCACAGTTAGTTGATGATGCAGTGGCTGAATATGGTTAATGTCATCCAAGGTGTGTGTGTGAAGTAAAGAAATCTGGTAATTGCTTCACTGCTTGTTTCAGTCTACTCTGGATACAATCTTTTATGTCATGTTGGTTTTGCAAACTGAACTAGGTGGTTGGTGATGTTTTCAATAGAAATGATGGTGTCACAGATGGCATGTGCAAAGCGCCAGTGTAGTATAGTCAGAATGGGGTGCCTTTTTGAATCCCTGACTTAAAATGCCCACAGCCATGCTACTCACCATGAGACTTTGGGCTAATAACTGTTTCTCAGTCTAACCCACTTCACTGGATCAATGTGAAGATTAAATCTGCAATGGTCTCAGAGCCACCCAGACAACAACTTGTATGTGCATGTTGGGAATGGGGGCAGATGACCACCAGGTGCATGTGCATAAAAGGAAGAATATATGTTAACTCACTTCCAGTTTTTTGAGGTTCTTCTCAGGTAAAGAACTTGCCTTGCCCCTTTTTTGAATCCGCCCAGCTCTAATGCAAGGTGTTACACCCTTTTAAAGATGTGCTTAGTGGAGGGAAGGGAGGATTTGGAAAGGAGGAAATGAACAGTTGGAGGACTGGTAGTGGTTGAAATTGCCCTTTGCTTCTCCTGTCTTCAGTCCTGCACTCAGCACCCAGGTTTTTGGGGGCCCATGGGCATGACACCCTTAATGGGCTCCCCCCTTCGTGAGTCTACCATTTCACCACCATTGTCACCAGTTGCTACTCCTGTTTTTCCTCATCATTGCTATCATCTTGCTAGGGACCTCACCACCACCACTGGGCCAGAGTGAGAGGCAGCTGCACAAACAGGTTGCAGTGATGGAGGAGAGAGGCTCTTGCAGTGGACCTCCTGGCGTGGTGTGGGCTCTTGGCAAGTGCCCCAGCATGCCAGTCCTTGACATGGTTCATGCTCAGTGCTACTCCCTCAGTGATTAGCCTTACCTGGCACTGAAGTGTCGCTGATTCTTGCTTGGGCTATGAATAGGTTGCTTCTTGCTTCTTCTGTGGCAAGATTAGGATAATATGATATCTAGTTTATATTAAGTTTGCCGCCGTAGGGTGAGATTGTCATCTAAAACCAATTCCTGTTTTATAAAAGTTAATGTTTAATAGCTAATTCCATACTAGAGCAATACTTTTTTAAAAAAATCCAAAAGTCTGTGACTCAGTGTGATAATTCTCCAACCTGTGTACATTTGCAAAGAAGAGGGACCCTGTGGGAGTCTGTCTGCCTTTAGAAAAATGCATATTCAAAAGACCATTAAATGCAACAGGGCTTCAGTTCAGTAACATTTGGATCAGCCCCCTCATTTACATGGGAGGAAATGAAAGTTATGGCAGATTTGCATATTGACATTCAAAACCTGTTAATCATGGATGGCAGACCATAGTGTTATAGACTCCACCTTCTCTTTTCTGTAGCCTGGAACGTGAATATATTATCTTCATTTAATGTTATGTTGCATTAGCTTGTTGTCTCCCATTCTGCACTGCAAGCATTCTCTCGCTCCCACCCTCTATGCCTTGTCTCCAGAGATCAAGAAAGAGCTTTTATCTCCCCATTTTTTCAGGTTTTGCTGCAAAATTGAACAAATGTCCTTATGCCTGAAATAATCAGAACAAAACAGATACATTTTCATAAAATTACCATCACAAATGTGCCTCATTCTCTTCTTTAACCACTTTTATACAGTAGGTGTCTGTTTTGAAGTGGGAAAAGCCAGTAAAGACTCTTGAGATTTTATTATACTGCTTTTGGCTTGCTGAAAGAGAGAAGCCTGGTAAATAATTCCTTTTTGCTTTATAAAGCAGAAATCATGCAATCTTGCTTGCCTCTCAAAATAATCCTTTGCAATAATTACAGTAAAAACTTTGATTTGATTCTATGCATTCTGCTTTGCTGAAAGGCAGGAGGCTACTAAATGTCTCCTAAAAATTAGATGTTCCTGTTCCTTTTCTAAGTATATATATCAGAATTAATAGGAATGTATGTGCTACTAAATGAAATTATGCTTTATTATTGTGCTTAGGTAAGTTTTAATCCACATGGGGAAACTTCAGTTGCTTGTAGACCAAATGGGAGATGTTCCTGATGTTTCCAATACACATTTACCTAGGTAAACATCTGAGCAGACATGTGCTCCAAATGCCCAAGTCTAGAATTCAAAAGATCTCAATATACTCTTTGTGGCAAAGAACCTTATTTTCTCTGTGATGTAGAAAATTCTCTCCTCTTGTCATAGTAGTATAATCTATTATCTTAGTCTTTAGTCTGTGCAGGACTACCTACCATTTCAAGGTAGGTAACACCATGTTATAATATGATAGAACAGACACTCCCGTTCTAAATCCATTAGAACCTATTTCTTTATAATGACCAAGCTTGGATGAGTCTTAGTGCCCATGCGTCCCATGTGGTATATTCAACACCTACTTGAAGATTATTCTGTCATGCAGAAGTAGTGAGTATGGGTTGTATGAGGATTAGACAACTTTTGCATAACCTTAAAACAGACCATAGATTACCTGAGGACTGTTTATACCTGGTATAACTCAAATTCATCAGGTTCAAATGACAACAATTCCAAGTGGGGGCTGCATATAAAAATGGCAGCTGCACACAGCCTCACTGTGGCTTAGATAACCTATGGTAGGTTGTCATGTCATGTGAACAGGCCCAGGGGGTCCAGAGATGGGTTGTTAAATGGCCATGATTTATTGAGCCCTGTAATACACAGTATGAAGAAATTATAATCTGAATAGACATGGTAAAGGAGAGATTTGTGGAAATTATAAAAGTTCAGTTTAATTTCTCAAATTGTCTTGAACATGAAATGAAAATAAGCAGATTATCTGTGAATCAGCAGCATGGCTAATTTTCTTGAGCAATATAGAATTTAGATTCCTGAGCAGAATCTGGAGTGCTAAGAACCTCAGTGTTCATAATCAAAAGCAAAATAATCTATGAGTTTCTAGTCTTCATGATTATAGGAGCGGGGGTGAGGCAGGAGAACTGAATGATGGTGGCCTATTTTTGTCACAGATTTGGAATCCAGAAAGAGTCAGATGAGAAATCCAAGTCTATATATGTTAGTTAAGTTGGGCCTATAGGTGGGGTTTTTTAGGTCTCAGTAGCCACTCACCTTCATTAGTTTTGATCACCATAATTGCTACAATGACTCTGCCTCCAAGTCTAAATTCTTCAAAATGGAAAACATAGGTGCAGTTCTTCCCATCTCTAGTTACAGAATTTGTGTTTTCTTGCTACACAATCTGGGATATTTGGCACAGAATTCTAGGCTCTTAAACACAGTCTCCCAAAGTCTTTCCCTGTCTCTGGACTGTGAAGGTTTACTCATCTCATTCAAACTTCAGGTTTGGCCTAAACTTAACTGATATGTCTCAGTGAGTTATTAAGTCCTTTCTTGTTCCTTTAATACATCTGCTGATCTGATTCTCTGGGGGAAAAGCCCGTGTCTAGAATGGAAAGCAATGTTGCATACCTCTGGGATGTTAAAAATAAAAAACTAAAGGTTAAAACTAGGATTGAATGGGAAATGTTGAATGAAATTTCTTATGATTCTGTCATACATCTTCTAGTAGAAATACCTTGTCTACTTACTTTTCTGGGTTGTGGGTAAGGAGTATATTTAATAGAACTTGCATGTTGACTGTAAACATGGAATGTTGTTCCCCTTGCTTATGCTGAACTAGAAGCCTAGTGAAACATTCCAAGTTCTTTGCAGGCAGCTTTCTTACCATCCATATATGTCTGGTTCAATTATCAGTTATTATTAGCCATTTAGTTTTGTTTTACGAACAGCCTAATACTTGAGCCAAGTTGCTAGATCTGATGACAGCTTACTTTATAGCTTTGGGCTGGACTTTTTTTTTTTTCTCCATACAGCTTTACACAAATGTTCTTGTATCTGTCCTTATGTTTTGTAAATGTTTTTTCCAGAGAATCAGCCAACAGAGGTCTTTGTTAACTAACCCATCGCAACACAGTCTTTCCAGGAATGAGAATGAGTCATCTTGCATAAGATTAGAAACTGAGAATATTGGGGAGTAGCCAGGTATGATCCAAGGACTGCAATAGCAGAACTTGCTAGGTTTTCAATCTGTTCTGTTTATTTTTATAGCTAATCATAACAAAGTTTTACTTTGAGGTTTTTTCTGTTCTGTTTTGTTTTTGTTTACCATGTTCATGTGGTTAGTACTGTGCAGAATAACAATATCTGATAAATATTCAGCTTTAAAGTAAATCCCTACCACATACTTATAAATACCTGCTGATACTTCAGAATGTATGAGATCAGTTTCAGGCACTCACAGATGGAGAGTTTCAGAAATTGACAGGTGTGCTGTTTGATCTCAGTTTCTCTGATTAAAAGATAAATCTACAGATCAATCAGCTAGAACCAATATTTTTCTTAAAGGTTGTAGCCCTGCTGTACATACTTGTTGTACATTCTTGTTTTATCCGTCTCTTCATGTATGAAATTGCTTGATGATTGTTCAGAATGGGCAGATGAACAACCTACAGGAGCAAGGAGTAGAGCCAGGAAAAGCCCTATGGGGTGGCGTTCAGATTTCTACCACAGTAGGAATGCCACAGGTGCATCCCAGAGCATCTGCAGAGGCCCCCACCGATGAGGAGGAAACAAACTTAGTGAAGTTGAAATTAAATCTCACCCACACTTCTGAACTTACGGATGAAAATTTAAAAAGATAATTGAGAAAAATGATCCCACTAGTACAATTGGTTGATAAATTTTTATATAAATTTAAAATATTATAAATTAGTTTAAAAATCCTAGTTGAAAATATTTTAAAAGTTAAATATATATTGATATTCAAAATAAATTTATATTTTTAAATGTGATAGTATTTTAAATTTTATGTGTGAAATGCTTAAAATAAATTTTAAACTAAAATTGATATAAAATGTTAAATTGTGTGAGCTGTCAGGAGTTATATTGCTTGTATATGTTGCTTGGAGTACTGTATTATGCACATTGCATCTCTGACATATTTTATTGTAACAGCTTGCAACACTTGAATCACCAGTTTAACAAATAAAATTTTGCTTCTCAAAGTTTGACTTTGAAGGGTGCTTTAAAAACTGTTCCTTAAGCCTACCTGTTGAATTTTAAAGGCAATGAAAGTGCAAACTTCAGTACTTTTGCATCCCCCCCCCAAATTTTTCTGCATCCAACAGCATCTAAGAGAATTTTTAATAGCATTCTCATTTTAAAAATCCTGCAACTGAATTTTTGCAGCCATGATAGGAGCAATTTATTGAGACTTCTTCTCCCAATGTTGTTACCAATTCTACTTCATCTTGCCTCATTGCCCTACAAAGTGTTATGCTTCCTCCCCATCAAACATCTCCAATTTGCAAAAGAGTTGCAGTAGCAAAACTAGGACTTCTTAAAACTATGTACTTGACAGAGGTAGCAGGTACAAATATAACTAAGGGTTACACCCCACTGCCATGGCTTTGAATTCTTCTCCTTTTACCCCCAAAATGTATAACCTTTTTAATGGAAATTTAAGGGAGAATCCAATAAAAATAAGAACACACTAAAATAAAATAGCTACAAATACTCACAGCCCCAAACAAGTTTAAAAAAATCTAAAAGTGCTAATGGCATAGACACATGCTTACAATTTCCATAACTATGATGTTGGCATCTCCAGATCTAGGGATGATATTGGCTCTTGAAAAGCTTTGGAAAAGGTGTTACAGGTAAAACTTCCAACAACCTTGCTTCCCACCCAGACTCCATTTGAGGTAAGGAAATGGGCAAGACTGCTGGTGTGTGAGTGGGGCAGAGGAAAGCCTTGCAGTGCAGCTCTTTAGGAAAGAAGGGCTTTCTTTAAGTTAGAGCATGCAGACTTCTCCTTTCAAGGCTGCGGTTCCTAGTGCAGCTGCAATGGGTTTCAGTCCTGGAAAACTCTCAAAGTATTGAAGTCATCTGCCATGTTGGAAATGCTCCCTAACATCGCTGGCAGGTGGGAATCCTGCCAAGGCAGAAGTAAACAGTTCTTCTTTGCCAGCATGCCCCAGAAATTGCTGTAAGGATGAACCTTGGTCTGGCTAGTTATCCTGCAGTTCCCTTATTTGATCAGGCCAGGGTAATGATGCACAGGTCGACTCCTCACCGGAACTGAATGAGTTCAAGAACTCCTACATGCTATTGAAAGACCGGCATTGCTTCATACCCAAAAGGGCAAGGGAAGACTTACAAGTGGCACCCTGTTTTTGCACTGCAAAGAGGGAACGTTTGCATTTCATCTGTGGGGAGCCAGGCAAAGTCTTCCCGCATAGAGAGTTGTCCTTTCACATGTTACTTGAGGAACACAGTCAGAGGAAGTGATGCCTCTCAGGCTATTTTCAGCTGCCTTGAAATGTATCATTTTCTAGCCTGGAAAGAATTTCTGCATAGACACAGGCCAGTTCACTTAGGAATTAAAAAGATCTGGGACACTGGTTAAACCTGACAGTTTTCAGATGATAAGTGAGGGAATCTCTGCAGGTTTTCTGCTTCTCACCTGTGCCATGTTCAGGATAAGATTCCCTCTGGAATAGTATCTGGGACAGTTATATTTCTGACTCATCTGCACTTGTAATTAAACTTGGTAATTATATTCACCGTGAGGCTTGAAGTGTTGCAAATCATCCTCTCCCTTTTCTTTTTTCTATTTTGCGCATTTCATTTCTTTGTCACCATCTGCTGTGAAATGGCTGTTTTTCTTGCAGTGCGCATTTAACATTGCCATCTGGGCAAAATTATTTGTCCCATTAATTGCAAAAATGTGTGAAGAAGCAAAACAAAAATGCTACTACAAGCCAGAGGAATGTCTGCTAAATGAGATCCAGCCCACTTGCGAGCCGCAGAACATGCACAGAGCTTGACATTATGAAATGTCTATTTTAATAGCCTCTCCTGCTAATTGGTCTCTGCACAGCATCGAAAAATAGCTCTCTGCTTGACTCTGTCCCACAGGGAGGGCCTGAAAAGATCTGAGGCTCTTTGCAAATGATAAATATCTTAGTGTGAACATTATACTGTAGCTATCTTCACGCTTCCATAGTCACTATCATGTTCTAAAAGTAGTTCTTTCATTGGCTGTTTTACTGCAGCAAAATAGAGAGAATGGGTAGAGAAAAACTCCATGAGAAGGATGGCTTCATTTTTCTTCTCCACACCAGGATATATCTACAGTACAGACATAAACCTCTCTAATCAACATTCCCTTTCTCAAGAGAGCCCTGGGAGCTACAGCACTGTGCAAGGTGCTGGATTACTAACAGAATTCTCAGCACTTTCACATAATTGTTGCTGTCCTATCTTGGCCAGTTCAAATTTACAAGGGGAGAAACAGAACTGTGCAAAAGCAGTTTGTGGTACGCAGTGGTAAGTGAACGCAGAGGTCCATGCTAGAATTGCCAGAGACCTCAGACAATAAAGCAAAGCAGACAGCCAGCTACAAGTTCTACAGGAATTGGACAGCTCCTGTGCAGATAACATATTTCTTCCAGCAACAGCAGATCGTAGCCTTCTGTGGTAGTGCAGGCCTTGAAGACTGCCTCAGGCCATCTTTTCCACCCTCTCTGCCCTCATGAAGATGGCTTGGAGTCTAGCACTCCCTTGGAGTACCTGCTGACATTTCAGGGTGTTTGGCAATTGACAAAGTGGACCTTAGAGGGCTTGCATGGGTCATATGCTGAATTTCCTATCTGCCACTGCAACAGCTGGGGGTGAAGTTGTAGTTGCAAAAAATGGAAAAAGGGGAATTGTTTATGCAGTACAAGTATTGAGAAAATGCATCTGGGCAGAGACCTTGAGCAGTCACTTGAGTAGGGTGATCTGTCATGCACTCAGTTTCGGAGTAAGTGAAGTTTATACCAGTGAACCTCTGTAAACCTTTAGACATTGTATTTGCTGCCAGTGTAACAGAATGTTTTTGCACAATATTGTTAGTTGCTTTAGGCTTCCTTTTAAAAGAAAAAATGGTTTACAAATTGATGATGATGATCACACATATAATAATTTTATGATATAAGAAGCAATACAAACTGATATAATAATATGCATATTTTGTAATAATACTGTGTGTGCAGTGGTGGGGTACATAATGGAGAAGTCTAAGTAATTAAAATAAGATTGCATTGCTTTGAGTTCAGGGGTGATTAGAATGTGCCTTTCTTCAAAAGTATAGTTGTTATAGGATTAGTAACTCGATGCACTTTTGCTTTCCTATCCTTACTGTTCATCCCAAAGCCACTTAAAGAAGGTCAACCTGTGTGGGTGCTGCAAAGGGAAAGAGTAGCAAGTTATTTCATAAAACACACTTCCTTGGTAGATATCCTTCATACAAGAAATGGAAGGTATAAAGATGCAGTAGAGAGCCTACATGCGTATTTTTAACAGCTTGTCTGAAGTGGCTGAAGGTGAGCTAAGTGAGCCTTGAGGGCCATTGCTTTGTAGTTTTATAGATTCACACTGTAATAATGCTGCACATGTAGGTCCCAGGTCTTACAAATAGCAGATGAGATGGTAAAATTGCTTCTGCATAATACTGCTTCAAATTGTGGGTGAGGACTCACATAATGGAATTTTCTGTCTTAAAAATAATAAACATTCCATACACACCGAAAACGAAAGAAAGGCAGCCATACATACAGAACAGGAAACTGATCTGTGAAGAACAGAACTAAGAACAGCATAATAGACAACAGTTCTCTGCTCTTGAGCTGGACAGGGGTAACAGGTGGAGAGGAGTAGCCAGTTGGAGAATGCTACAATATTGTGATGAGGTATTTCTAAAACATGGGCATTGGGGAAAATGGAAAAGGGGCTAATGAAATGCATTCTAATTGGAAGTCAGAAGAAACACAGATTGTATGACTTTACGGATAACCTAGTCTCTGACCTTATGGACCCAAGTTACTGTTCTCAGTATTTTGATGTGTTCAGTGGCTGTGGACTCATATTTAGTTGCATAAATAAGAATGCTTTCCTGCATGCATCAAGTAGATTTGAATGTCATCCAGGCAAGCTGGCTA